AGTGGAGAAGAGGAAATGATGGGCTTGAGTACACCATCAAAAATTTCAAAAATCCGAGTACATACGACAATATAATTGGTATCGATTTAAAGGTTAACCACGCCTCTTGGATATACTATAAACTCCTGGGGTCTATGTCCTTCAGGGATAAATATATACGCTATAAAATACAAATTTTGTAATTTTTCACACAAAAGTCTGGGCCCATTTGACGCACTAAATATTGACCGATCTTTATCAAAACAGGCATACATACTGTTTGGCCAGATCTCCTTCTCCATGTTTGGACCATAATTGCGGCTTCTGGAGCGACCAGAAAATCAGACAAAAACCAAGTTTTTGGTCGATTTCATCCCCTAAATATTAACCGATCTTTAACAAAAACAATAGGGGTCTTCATTGGCCAGAACCCATCCTACATGCAAAATTTCGTGAAGATTGGTCCATAACTGTGGCCTGTATCGTGTTTACAATTTATAATGGACAGACGGACGGACACACATGTCTAGATCGACTCAGCTAGTCGAGATATGACGATCGGTATACTTAAAGGTGGGTCTAGGACCAATATTTCGCTGCGTTACAAACGTTTGGGGTGCACAAATATACCCTGACAACATAGTTGTCTAGGGTATAAATATATACATACATAATCTAAACACCACGATAAATCAAATGATATCAAAATCACACAAGTCTGTGTAGCGGTTTCTAAATTACAGCGACAACAAAACAAGATATTGAGGAAAATTATTTATTTTTGGTTCGAAGAAATAATGTCATCATATTAATTTTTTTCATTTTATACAATAAATTTCAGAAAAAAATATTTCAAATAAAAATAATCTCCTTGCGGTTTATAGCAATACATTTCCGATAAATCTTGGGGTTTTATAAATAGCAATAAATATTAAAACCAAACTATACTCTGAAATAGACATTTTAAATTGCGTTTAAATCGAATAATTCTCAAAATCATTTGATGCGTTTGTGGTTATCAGGAAGAACTGAAGTTTATCTTCCAATCCATGTATATTTTGGGAAATTTCATCTGACGGCTAATATGTACTACATGTTGCATTGAAGTACCCGAAAACTCGTAAAACGCTAATAATTTCCGAAAAGTCCATATGTCTTTAACGTGCATCCGATTTCGGTGTGCACCCTAAAAGAATATATCGATCTATACCTATTTCAATGTGGTCCATTACGATGGATTTTCACGAAGAAGATTTTATTTCAACCGAAACGTAAAATTCCTTACTGATCACGGGTACCCATATCATTACTCTGAAGCTGTGCATACTACATACACAATATATATATATATATATATATATATAAAATTACTCAGATTCGTGGCTACAATAACCTTAAAGCTAAAAGTAAAATTCAAAAAACACTCCAAACCAAGCTTCAAAATTTCAGCATAATTTAAAGGTAGATGCAGTTAAAATTTTGAAAGTTTTACTTTGACACGAAGACCGTGATTTGAGTGGCTTAGTCACAAATCGATAGAGAACATAAAAAAGCGGTTCATCCAACCTGTTTTTTGAGTTTTTATCTATTCTGAGACTTTTAGTAAAAGTTTATGGCGAACATTTTTGTAAAATATTCGGACCTGCCGTTACCGCCTTTTTAATGAGTTTTCAATCATTGCTAGAAAATGTAACGAAAAGACCCCCTCAGCACGTTGATTCTAGTCCGAATATTTTCAAACCTCTTTGAATTGGGGGAATATTAAAATTTTATTATGTCAGCATTATCACGGAAAGTCATATTCTCAAAGGTTGATATTTTTTGTTGATCATTTACAACTTCACAGCACAACTGCTTCACTATAAATACGATAGCAACATGTATCTGATATCTACAAACTACCACAAATATGCCAGCTTTGTAATATGCTGACTATAAAATAAATATAAATGGAGTAAAAATATTTAATAGAAGTTTCCAGGTAACAAACTGGCAGTGAAGTGCCTTAAACGCTTAACATTCTTTTTCTGCGTTACGATATCATAACATCTGAGGACCTGTCAATATTAAGCGTGTCAGGAGGATCAAGACTTTTACGTGAAAATTAAAATAAAACTTATTATGGCGTATATTTTCACACTGGGTAGATATATTCCGTAATAGTTGGAAGTATATCTAAGAGGGTCTATATATAATGATATTTTCACTTTCAAATGTCGGGTCGCATTATAATTCATTCGGTCGTACTTAACAATATTTTATATATTTATAAGTAAACTAGCAAAGTGCCCGCTACTTCGTATGCGGAAAGGGAAAAAAATATTTCATATGGAAATCGTAAATGCTGTATAATTTGTTGTATTATAGTTCTGAATTCCACCTCTATTTCTACATCAAATATTAAGTGTATTACCATTTAGTACTCTTCAAACACATAAACACTATATATTTCTTTATTTTATTACACAGATTAAAAATAGATCAGATTATAGCAAATACGTACAGGTTCAACATTTAGTTTCATTTCCAATAATAACCTTAAGTGCATATTTAAGGATCCCAGCTCAATCCGTTCACCAACACCCAAATTGTATCAAATTTAGTATCATTTATTACTTTTCGTAGACGAGATAGTACGAGTTTCTAAAACTTCTTAATTTCACACTCCAAAACTATTTTTAATGACAAATTTCAGGATCTCAGCTCTATTCGTTCACATAGAACCAAATTGTGCCATATTTAGTACTTTTCGTACTTATGAGTTCGAATTTCCAACACTGTCTCAATCCTCTACTCTAACGTAATTTTATTTTTAAATATACGTTTTCCATCTCTATCCTTTACTCAAATCTAAACTTAGTACCATTTAGTATACATAATTACGCATTTTTAAAACTATCTCCATGTCTCATCCTACAATCTAATCCTTAATTTTAATTCCAAATTTTATGATTCCTGCTCACACAAAACGAATTGTACCATATTTAGTACTATTTAGTGCTTCTCGTATCCATAAGTACGTATTTCCAATACTACCTTAATTCTGTAATCTTTCATTCCAAATTTAAGTATTCCATCTCTATCCGTTCATTCAAATCTAAATTGTACCAAATTTAGTACCATTTAGTACACGTATTACGAATTTTCAAAACTACCGACATATCTCAATTCTGCACTCAAACTGTTATATTAATTCAAAATTTCAGGATCTCAGTTCACATCCGTTCACACAAAAACAATTTGTAAATCATTTGGTACCAGTTAGTAATTTTTTTCTACACTCCAACAGTAATTTTAATTCGCAAATTCTGGAGTCCAGCTCTGTCCGTTCACACATAATTAAGTTGTACCAAATATAGTACCATTTAGTACACATAAGTACTATGCTTCCATATCTCAATTCTATATTCCAACAGCAACCATTATTCCAAATTTTAGGTTTACAGATCTCTTCATTCCCCCAGATCCAAATTGTACCAAATTTAGTTCTGTTTAGTACTTTTCGTACACATAAATACGAATTTCCAAAGATGTGTCTATAGCTCAACCTTCAAAAGTAATCTTAATTCCAAATTTCAGGGTTGCAGCTCTATCCTTTCAAGCTAAATCCAAATTGTACTAAATATAGTACCATATAGAACTTTTCGTACCAGTAACTACGAATTTCTTAAACTACCTCAATCCTACACTCCAACAGTCATTTTAATTCTCAATTTGAAGACTCCAGCTCTATCCGTTCACTGAAATCCAACTTTCACCAAATTTAGTACCACTTAGTGCTTTTCGTACACATAAGTACGATTTTTTAAAGCTACTTCAATCCTGTACTACAATAGTATTCCTAATTCCGATTTTCAGTCTTTCATCTCTATACACTCATTTAAACGCAAATAGTACTAAATTTAGTACCATTTTGTAACTTTTATATATATTTATATATACATACACAATTGGAACTAAATTTAGTAAAGTTTAGTACTTTTCGTACACTTTTAGGTCGAATTTTCAAAAACTCTTTTGTTCATCATTCTAACTTTCCATTAGTGACCCACATTCAAAATTTCAGAATTCTAGCTCTTCCCGTTCGCCTAATACAAAGGGTACCATATTTTAGTACTTTTCGTACCCTTCAAGTTCGAATTTCCAAAAACTCAGCCTTATCTCACGCCTACACACCAACTCAAAATTTCAAGCTTCTAGCTTTAGCCGTTTCGTCTGGGCGATGATCTGTCAGTCACTCACTCACTTAACACTAAGCTCTTTTATATATATAGATGCAATTGTACGTTTTATACACATACTATTGTCATCTATTTTCAATTTCAAAATCTGGTCGCCTCATATATGCCCATGTGTCCAACGCAATTTGGCATTACAGATTTCTGGTGAATAACGAACATCTTCTTCAAAACTTATAAATGTGGTTTAATTTGTTTAATTTGTTCTTTTCAATATGTTTTAAAACGTACCACAATATGGATGGTATACAAATTTCGACCTGACCTAACATTTCAACTTGTGTTTGATTATCTTTAATTTTCGATTTCCCATGAAGTATAAACAATATTTTATTTTAGTCAACTTCGTTTAAATTTTATTTATTTTTCTCTTTCTCTCCAACAGCAACAACTTCTCATTCTATTCAATTCTCGTTGACTGTGACTTCTAATTAACAGCCTACAACGCTATCTAATGCAAACGAAAAGAAAAAAATGTCTGTGTGAAGGTGTTGCTTCCGCTTATCGAATACAAAAAAAAAACATTTCTGCAAAACACTAAACCGTTTAGATAGGGTCCGCAAAAGGTTAATGGACAAGCCACAGAACAGCATCAGCTATAAGATTTCCAAATGTGAGAAGAGTACAAATGGCCACACAGCGAAGATCACGTTTGAATTGCGGTGGCAAATGCCAATTAATATAAAAAGAAGAGCATGGCCAAAAGATGCATTTATTTGTGGCAAAACCATAGCTGCTGGTCAAACAAACAGACAAACGAAAACCAAAAATTCATAATTCATCATGAACAAATATATCGTAAGTAAACAAGAGTAAAAAACAAAAAAAAAAAAAAGAGTACCGAGTGATTTGATGTGGGCGAAAGAACACAAGAAAAATGTGGCTAAACCAAAAGCCAAAGTAATGGAATTGACTTTGCGTACATTTTCCGGATGCAAATGCATACCAATAACCATGTGAACATAGTTTCGCCCACCAAATGCTTGGAATTGGTTCACAGGAAATGATGTTAAACGAATATTTGATTTCATTTTCATATCTCTGTTGTTTTTCTTCATCTTTCTATTGCAGTGCTTTGCTATCGTTTTGTTGGCTGCCATTACATCTGGTAGCTGTAATGGCTATGGCAATTTGGCCAATCTTGCTTTGAGTTCCTATGGCGGAGCCGCACAATCGGCTCCAGCCGGTGATGCTGGCGGTTACGGCTTCTCAGGCGGATATGCTGCCCCTGCTCCCAGCTATGGTGGTGCAGCCGCCTCAGGATACAACAGCTATTCTGCCCCCAAAGCCTATGCCCCAAAATACTCCTTCCAACCCGCATACGCCACTGAATTGTATCCCGGACAGAATGGCTACAAACAATACAATTCGCATGCCAGCTACAGCCAAGTAGCTTTGCCTGTTGTACAAGACGCCCCATTGGCTAAATTGTACTCCTCGGCTTCCAAGTCTTATGGCGGTTATGGCAGTAGCCCATCTTATGGCGGTAGCTCATCCTATGGTGGTAGCCAAGCTGCCTACTAAACAAAAGCACGCACATAAAGAAGCGGAGTTCCTGTAAATAATAGTCTGAAATATTAGTGTTTAGTAATTTAAAAAAACTTTTTTCCAAATCCAGTTTTCGAAAAAGAAATTCTAAATTTTATTTTCAAAATTATTTTTTTTTTCAAATTCCTTGCTGCAAATTGCACACCTTTAGAGTTGTTAGTAATCCAAAAAACCATTTTGGCTTAATTTATTTTTGCTTTTTTTGATTTAAATCTCAATTTTGTTGATAAAAATTCAAAATTATTTATTAGTATTATTGTTGTTATGAAATTATTTTTTTTTTTTTTACAATTTTACGTGCGTCTTAAAGAACAAAGTGCATAAAAGAAAATTTCATAAAAAACAATTTTGAATACCCAATCTAGAAAAAAAGAAAAAAATATAAACCCAAACAATTTTTAATACAAAAAAAAGTGTTTTTAATGATATGACCGTTTAAACGCGTTCTTGGTTCATTGGCAAATGGTGTTGAATAAGTGTTCCGTCAGCAGAATGATAAATGTCAACATTTGGTTTTGTGTGCCGAAAATGCATTTCCCCGTTTACACAACAAAAGAACAGAACAAGTAAGAAATAGCCGAAAGCAACAAAAAATAGCAACAGAAACGATTAATGTTATGGGGGTTATCAGCACAAATGACGGACAGTTGCATTGACATGTTGTAGTTGTGCTAATTTTTATTACTCGTATGCTATTGGCATTGTTGGTGTTGTTGTTTGTGTGTCGTGAAGAACAGAAACAGATACAAACCAGTGAACGGAGCAGTATAGTCGGACGGGGCCGACCATACGATACCCTACACAACTACCACGGAACTCTAACTTTCTTGCTTATAAATCAAAAAACACAAAAATTCAAGTTTGTGGTCCATTTAATCCCAAAATTTCTATCTGATCATCACCGAAAATGATAGGCGTTCCCTTAACAAATAACTGGAACCTAATGGAATATTTTGAAGCGATGAGGGCTATATTTCCGCCCTCTAGTGTGGTAATGTGTTACTAAATAATATATAGAAATACCTAAGCACAATATTTAAGTGTAACTCCCACATCCGAGTACATACGACAAAATAATTGGTATCAATATAAAGGTCCACCACTCCTCTTGGATATAATATCATCTTCTCTGGTCTATGTCCTTCGGGGGTATATATATACGCTATAGAATACAAATTTTGTAATTTTTCACACAAAAGTCAGGGTCAATTTGACCCGCTAAATATTGACCGATCTTTATCATAACAGGCATGCTTATTCTTTGGCCCAATTCCCTTCTCCATTCGAGGAGTTTGGGACATAATTGCGTCCTCTGGAGCGACCAGAAAAAGTGACAAAAATAAAGTTGTTGGTCCATTTCATCCCCTAAATATTAACCGATTTCCATTTCCAAAAACAATAGGGGTCCTCATTGGCCAGAACCTATCCTACATGCAAAATTTCGTGAAGATTGGTCCATAACTGTGGTCTGTATCGTGTTTACAAATTATAATGGACAGACGGACGGACGGACACACATGTCTAGATCGACTCAGCTAACCGAGATATGACGATCGGTATACTTAAAGGTGGGTGTAGAACCAATATTTCGCGGCGTTACAAACTTTTGGGGCTGCACAAAGCTGTAAAACCCTGACAACATAGTTGTGTAGGGTATAATTAGACTGACTTTCATCGCAGTGAAATGAAATCGAAATCAAATAGGTTCATATGTACGGTTATCGATTTCGTGATTTCAAAACACTCCATACTACCCTCTTATACTGAAGATAGAGCTTTGAAATTGCACATGTTGACGTTTTTTAGGCCCGTTTTTTCTACATAATCAGTAGTATTATGGTATTTGGTGGTCTCAAAATCGTCCTACTAAAAAATAGCTATATTGGCACACTCAACCACTCAACACCCCGTGCACGTTTTACAACCGAATTGTGCCTCATTTGTTTTAATACTCATTGGGGAAAAATCCAAAATATTAGGTTGTGGAAAAAGAAATCCATTATTTTTTCGGCAAATGGCTGTTCTGATAGATTTCTAGACAGATTTCGATAGATTAGATTTCGATCAAACAAATTCAGATTTATGCTCGTTGGAAGGATGACATTTCGCAGTAAAAAAATATTTTGCTGTTTTTTCGTTGGTGCATTCAGTTGTGAGTTACAGGGTGTTAAAAATGGAAGTGAACAATAAGAAAATTCGGTTCATTTTACAGTTTCTCGTTGACAAAGGCGAAAATGCAAGCCAAGCGGCTAAAATTGTGAATGGTGTTTATGCTTCCGATACTATATCAGCCAATTATGGCCAAATTTTGATTTCATAGTTTCTGTTCAGGAAGTTTTGATGTTAAAGATGCACCTCGCACAGCTATGCCGGTCGTCGAAAATGTCGATAAAATCGGAGAAACTTTCGAAGTTAATCGGCATGTTAGCAGTCGTAACATCGGCCAAGAGCTAAAAATCGACCATAACTGTATTAACCCATTTACAAAAAAAAAAAAAAAAAAAAAAACAGTAAGGAAAGCACTAAAGTTGGACTGGGCCGACTATATGATACCCTTCACCACTTTGGGTATATTCTACATATGTATCCTAAAAGACGTCGCACAGTGTCACGACAGCGGCCAAAAATGGTCAAAACCAAGTACCACGGAGAACAAATTTTTTGATTAGGATTGATAGAAAATACTCCAATTAGAATAAATATGAAATTTTACATCGATATGTCGAGTAGTTTTGTCTCTACAAAGGTTCAAATCTGATAATTATTTATAAACTGATTTTTTACCATATTTTCGAAAAATGGGTGTGTTTTTCTGATGCTCAGATATTTGAATATTCAAATTAACGGTTATTATAAAAGTGTTTATTTTGGTTGCTGTGGATGTAAAGACTAGGATTCGATTTAGTTTGTATGTATATAAATATCATATGGTGTATACAGTCGCCCACACTTGTAGTACTTAGTTCATCAAATTTGTAAAACAAATTTTGAAATTAGTGGAGCAGAAAAAAAAGTTTAAAAAGGTTAGCTCTAATTGTTTTTATATTTGAGTGGTGAAATTGTGTTATTTAAGGAATAAAAAAAATTAGCTGCGGAGTCCTGCGGTCCTATGAGTTATTTAACTTTTTTGGTGACCACCTTATGAAAAAATATGGCATATTCACGAAATGGTTAGAAGCGAATAGTCCAATATGTTATGTATACAATTAAATGAGTTGTTGAGGGTCAAATAGGAAGGAGAAGATGGATTCAGAACATAGTAATAATACAATATTTTACATAAAATATGCAATTGAGTGGTAAAAACGTTATTCGAAGCGGAGATATGGGAGAATTGGTTTTAAAATATAGCTTTTAAATAAATTTTCAGTCAGTTTGAAGATTATACTTATTTATCAGATCATTTGAGACATAATCTTATAATCTAAATTTAGAGGTCGCACATGAATTACCTTTGTGAAAAGTTCATACAGAAAAATATTTGTTCATGGCATGGGATATGCAAAGTGCAGTACAATACCTTTTGAGCGACTTTCACAAGATGCTAACAAGTCATGCGAACAAATAATTAGTAGCAGCCCGAACTTTTGTTAAAGCCGAGTTAAATAAAGATTTTATTTAGTATTTTATATTACAATCCGACCTTGTAATATCCTTAAACAGCCAATAATAATAAAGTAAAGGCCCGAGATTATAATGTGGATGATACTAAATCGTACATTTGGGAAGACAATATATATATATATATATATATATCTGATGTGTGTTTTCAAAATGTTGTGAATGATAAAAAAGTAATTTATTAGTTATTGAAGGATATCAAATATTTGTTATATTATAATAAAAATACCAAAAATAAAACTACTATACTTAATTTAGCTGCATATAACGATTTTATAGTACAGAAAGTTAAATTTGTAGGGACTTTTGGTATGGTAGGTACCTGTAACAACTAAATTACAACACCTATTACTGTCTTCGCCTAAATTAGATGTAATTTGGACGAAGACATGAAAATTTTCCTGGAATTTGGATGAATATAAACTATATATAGGTCCAAAAATCGGATTTTTCAAGACCCTTTGTATGGGAGGTATATCAAATCTTGGTCCAATCTACCCAGTTTTTCGTCCGTTGCTTTATAGGCATAAGTAAATGTAAATTGTCAATTTTCATTGAATTTGGTTGAATATTAAAGATTTTATAGCCCAAAATAGTAAAATTTTCAAGACCCTTTGTATGGGAGGTATATGAAATCTTGGTCCGATCAACCCAGTTTTTGGTCAGTTGCTTTATAGGCCTAATTAAATGTAAATTGCCAATTTTCATTGAATTTGTTTGAATATTAAAGATTTTATAGCCCAAAAAGGGTGACATTCTCAAGACCCATTATATGGGAGGTATACCAAATCTTGGTCCGACCTATCCAATTTTTTGTCAGTTGCTCTTTAGGCCAATAATAAGCACATGTACCAAATTTCATAAACTTTCGATAACTCCTTCTATTTTTGGCCGCTGTTTATATGAACTCGAAGGAACATTGATATAAAATTGAACGAACTTAAATATGTGATCTTTATCAATATCTAAACCGTCTAATATCAATCCCTACACATGTCATTCGGCAACCTATGCACTGTTTAAAATTTAATCTCAATCAGCCCATTGATTATTTGGTGTACAATTAACAGATATGCTTTATCTATATCTGAATCGATGATACTTGCAAGGGATTAATTTATATTAACTTCAGTACATTGTATCAATCGGTCTAGCTATGGACTTTACTTAAAATCGGACGAATATATATATATATATATATATATTGTCAATATTGCCCTTAATGTAAAAAAATGTGTAAAAACAGGTTGAGGCGAACCAGTTTTGTATACCCTCCACCATAGTATGGAGGGTATATTAATTTTGTCATTTGATCAGGGTAAAATTCTAAGACGATCTAGCCATGTCCGTCCGTC